GTGTCTGGGGGTGACTGTAGCCAGGTGGTGGGGACAGAACCAAAGCCATGCCTGTGCCTGCAGGCTGCACTCTGGGTGGCCAGGAGGTGAAGCTCTGCATTCACTATGAGGGCGGCTTCACCATCTGCCGTGATGAGGCAGGCGGCAGCGTCCTCTACCACTACCCCTATGAAAAGCTGAAGATGTCGGCGGACGATGGCATCAGGACCCTCTATCTAGACTTTGGAGGCCCAGAGGGGGAACTGGTGAGGAGGGACCCCTAACCCTATCCAAGCCGTACCCTAGAACTTGGGTTGCCCTTATGCTTTGACACCATTCTCCCTTTCCTTGCACAGGCGCTGGACCTGCACTCCTGCCCCAAGCCCATCGTCTTCGTGCTGCACACCTTCCTCTCAGCCAAAGTCACCCGCATGGGGCTGCTGGTGTAGGCGACCACCCTGACCCCCCCGGCTGCCTCCACAATGCAAAGCAGCCTGGGAAACATGGAGCCCCACTGCTGCCTGCCACACCGGTGCCTTGGGGAGGGGGCTTCCCTTCTGCAACTCGGGGAGCTCAGTGTTATCCCCTGCCCCCAAAAGCCATCTCTGATCTCACCACCTGTGCCTTGCAGCGGGGCCACTGCCCCCCCCCCCCCCCCCCCGGGGAGCTTCACCTTGTGTTCTTCCCCCAAGTAGGACTGTGTTGGGCACTGTTTGTATCCCCTGGGGGGGGTCTTGTCTTAAAAATGTGGGCACTCGGGAGGATGCTGGGACCTGGCCCTGTGATGCTGGTATGAGCAGGGGGCTTGGTCCCTGCCATGCCACAATCACAAGGCAGGCGCTCCCCAAACTCTGAGTCTGCAAACAAACGCTGTTCCCTGCCTGGGCTGGGAGCACAGTGGGACCCCCATAGGCCCCGTGGTTTTGGGGAGGGACACATAGATCAATGCACTTTTGCTTTTTGTACTTTACCTCCGCCCCTGGTGCGGGGACGGGTGCTCGGTGCTGGGGGTCCCCGCTGTGCCCCAGCCCAACTCCTCCGCAAACGTTTCTGCTTCCCATGAGCTGTGCCAGGGGGCCTGGGGGGTGCATAGCCCCCCACCTCGCTCAGCCCATTCTATTTTTGTACTCTTTGTAAATCGCTATTTATACAAACTGGCCTTGTATGGGGTTTGTGATCGGCACCGCAGCAGGAGCAGCTGTGAGTGGTGCTGCACACGCGTGGGACGTGCTGTGTGGGTGAGAGTGTGCTGTATGTGTTTCTGTGTAGGGGTGTGCAGATATACACGTGTGTGTGCTGTGTAGAAGCTGTGTTGTGTGTGTGTGTATGACAGGCTGCACTGTCTGAGGCGTAGTGTGTACATGTTTGTATACACATGTACATATATACACACATACTGTGCATGCAGTACAGCATGGACGCACATACACGCTCTCCATACCACACACACAGTGAACATATATATCACACACAGATATGTATGCACACGCTATTTATGAGGTGTATACACAGAGCATATTGGCTATGTGCACCGTGTGTCTGTCCGTGCTGTGGACCACCATATATGTATGCTATGTAAGCACTTAGCCCTCCGGCACTGACTCCCAAGGGATTCTCCCATCAAATGTCCCAAACAGCCCAAGTTCTGCCTCCTGAAGTCCAGGGAGCGCCTTCGCTGACTTCACCAAGAGCAGACAACCGTGCCGCACGGCAGCCGCTCACACCGACACACCACGTTAAGAGCCGGCCATGCGCGGTGTACGCATGCGCGAGACGTGCGGGCGGGGCGCGTCCAGCGGAGGCCCCGCCCATGTTCTGCCGTACCGGCGGGCGCCGCCTGGGGGCGCTGTAGCCGCCGCGCACAGCCGCAGTCGGGGCGGTCCCGCGGGCCCCCGCCGCCGCCGCCGCCGCCGCCGGGCCGGGTCGCGCCAGCTGCGGCCGCCACCGGGCGATGAGATGACAACGACCACCCTGCAGGTACCGCGCCGCGCCCGCCGCCCGGGCCCGGCCTCCTACCGCCCCGCCGGGCCGCGCCGGGAGGGCCCGGCCCGTCCTTCCGAGCGGGCCCGGCTGCGGGGCGGGGCGGGTGGCGCTCGGTGGGGCCGGGCCCGGCGCCGGGCTCAGAGCTCAGGTCGCCGCTTCCCCCTCAGAAAGCCATCGACCTGGTGACCAAAGCCACCGAGGAGGACAAGGCCAAGAACTACGAGGAGGCGCTGCGGCTGTACCAGCACGCCGTGGAGTACTTCCTGCACGCCATCAAATGTGAGCGGGGGGGCGCGGGGGGCGCGGGGCTGCGGGGCCCGCGGTGACGGCCGGGGCTCTCCGTGCAGATGAGGCGCACAGCGACAAAGCCAAGGAGAGCATCCGTGCCAAGTGCGTGCAGTACCTGGACCGGGCCGAGAAGCTGAAGGAGTACCTGCGCAGCAAGGAGAAGCAGGGCAAGAAGCCCGTCAAGGAGGCACAGAATGACGCCAAGGGGTGCGTGGGGGCTGCTCCCCTACCGGCGGGGCACGGTACGGCCGTGTGACCGCATCCCTGTCCTATCTCTCCAGGAGCGACAGCGACAGCGAGGGCGAGAACCCGGAGAAGAAGAAACTGCAGGAGCAGCTGATGGGTGAGGGGCTGTGGTGGGCATGGCGGTGCTCGGCTGGAGGGAGGTCTCGCAGAGAGCGGTGCCGTGGGGGCACTGCTGGAATTTGAAGCTGTGCTATGTGCCAAGGGGTCGGGTCAGCCTGGCAGGGTGGGGTTTGGCGGGGTGGAGCCATGGGCTCCAGCTCTCGTCTCTGCCCCGCAGGTGCCATCATGATGGAGAAGCCCAATGTGCGGTGGAGCGACGTGGCTGGCCTGGAGGGAGCCAAGGAGGCCCTGAAGGAAGCCGTGATCCTGCCCATCAAGTTCCCACATTTGTTTACTGGTGAGGCTCACTGGCAGCTCCAAGACTGCCGCTTGGCTATGGAGAGGGGCCTCATGCCCCATGACGAAGGGTGGCAGCTGTGGTAGAGGTGTGCATGCAGGGAGGTGACCCAGAGCAGAAGGGATGTCTGTCCCTGCTGGCCCGAGGTCCCTGTGCAGATCCAGTTTGTGCAGTGCAGGAGAAGCTTTGACGCTGGGCTCTGTCGCAGGGAAGCGCACGCCCTGGCGAGGGATCCTGCTCTTCGGGCCTCCTGGCACTGGGAAGTCCTACTTGGCCAAGGCTGTGGCCACTGAGGCCAACAACTCCACTTTCTTCTCCGTGTCGTCCTCGGACCTGATGTCAAAGTGGCTGGGAGAGAGTGAGAAGTAAGGTGTCACCGGGGCTGCGGGCTGGCCAAGGGATGGCTGTCCAGGGGGTGGCTGCTCTCTGTGCACTGCGTTCCCCTCCTTGGTACCAGCACAGGGCTCTGGAGTAGGCAGGGGCAGGAGGAAGCAGTGGTGTGTAGGGCTCATGCCCCTCTGCAGTGGGTGGGCAGTGGGGCTGTGGGTCCTCGCCTGGGGCTCTGGGTGGGGGCACCCACCCCTTGCCTTTGTGCCCAGGCTAGTGAAGAACCTCTTTGAGCTGGCAAGGCAGCACAAGCCCTCCATCATCTTCATCGATGAGGTGGACTCACTGTGCGGCTCCCGCAATGAGAATGAGAGTGAGGCAGCCCGGCGCATCAAGACAGAGTTCCTGGTGCAGATGCAGGGTGAGTGGGGCTTCCCCTGGCACGATGAGCTGCCTGGGGCATGCACACCTGTTGGGTAGGGAATGTGGGATGGGGTGGGTTTGGATGAAGCAGCGATCTCCTTTAGGTATGGCTCTCAAGCGTCCCCCCTGCTGTTTCTCTGGGCAGGTGTGGGCAACAGTAGTGATGGGATCCTGGTGCTCGGTGCCACCAACATCCCCTGGGTGCTGGACTCGGCCATCAGGAGGAGGTAAGCAGGACACGATCTCTCTGCAGTGCCCAAAAGCACAGTGCTGCACTGCACAGGATATGGCTGCGAGATTTGGCAGCGCAGGGCCAGCCTGGTGGGGAACACAGCCACTCACCCACGCCTGCCTGTGCCACACTCAGGTTCGAGAAGCGCATTTACATCCCATTACCTGAGGAGGCAGCCCGGGCCCAGATGTTCAAACTGCATCTGGGCAACACCCCACACTCTCTGACGGATGCTGACATCCACGAGCTGGCACGGAAGACAGATGGCTACTCTGGGGCCGATATCAGCATCATTGTGCGGGATGCCCTGATGCAACCGGTCCGCAAGGTGCAGTCAGCTACGCACTTCAAGAAGGTGAGTTGGGTGCCAGGAGCTGTGCTGCTGCAGGGGGGGCACTGAGGCTGTGTTGCAGCACTGCCCGCCTCTCCCAGGTCCGCGGTCCCTCCCGCACCAACCCCAACCTTCTGGTGGATGACCTCCTGATGCCGTGCTCGCCTGGGGACCCGGGTGCCACCGAGATGACCTGGATGGAGGTGCCCAGTGACAAGCTGATGGAGCCCATTGTCTGCATGGTGAGTGGGGCTGCCAACAGCAGTCAGATCCTGCTGCGTTTGGGCCCATCCCCAGCACAGCAATGCTGCCACCCCAGCCCTACCGGTTCCCCTGCCTCCTCCAGAGCTGCCACTTGCCTCAGGGCCTGGTGCAGGCACATGGCAGCTGGGTACTGGTGCCCTCCCGAGCCCCTGCGGTGGCAACGCCTGCCCAGCAGCAGCACCCTAAGCGTGAGCGTGTCCCCAGCATGTTACCATCCCCCCAACCTCCACGTCTGAGCTGCCCCCTGCTCTGTATTGCAGTCGGACATGCTGCGTTCTCTGGCCACCACCCGTCCCACCGTGAACACCGAGGACCTCCTGAAGGTGAAGAAGTTCACAGAGGACTTTGGGCAGGAAGGTTAAGGGCCGTGGTGGATGATGGGGCCCCGCTGCTCCCAGGCAGGCGGCTGTGCCAAACAGGTTCATCTGCAGCTCACAACCCAACCCATCTCACTTCAGCACCAGGCAGGGAAGGGGGCACGCTGCCCTGGCAGGGCCAACATTAACAGAGGCGTCCCAGCGCTCCTCTGCTCCTCACTCTTCTTCCTGCTCTTTTTTTATTTTTTAAATTAATGCTGCTTTGGGTTCTGTCTTGTTTATATGAAAATAAAAACAATCTGAAAGCTTCCGCCAGTGCCTAGCCCCTCCCTGAGGCACAGCTGCCCCACAGCAAGGCTTTGGGGCCATAAAGGGACCCAGCCTTGGGGATACCCTCTCCTCCCCATTCCCACGGTCCTTTGCCTGCCACACAAGGAGCACGTTCTATAATGGCCGCTTGGAGCCGAGTCCCTCCTCGTTTCTCTCCAGGTCCACAGCCCACAGCTCCCAGCCCCTTCCCCTCCCGTGGACCAGGTGCTGCAGGAGAGAGACTGGTCCCCTCCTGCACAGCCCCTTTTCCTAGACCGAGAAAGGAACCTCCGAGGCCGGCTCCAAGGGGCAGGTGGGGGCCGCGGCCACATCCCAGAGTGCCGTACCGCTGTCGGGGCTCCGTCTCAGTCGAGGAGCTGGCTCCAGGCGGTGTTGGCGAAGGTGCGGCTGTCCATGCGGTCGATGAAGAGCACGCCGTCCAGATGGTCCATCTCGTGCTGCACGATGCGGGCAGCCCAGCCCGTCGCCTCCCAGCTCACCGGGTCCCCGTTCTCATCTACGCCTGCGGCAGGACGGCGCCAGTAGGGCCGGAGCCGGGCCGCGGGGAGAGGGGACGGAAAGAGAGGGGGGGGGGACGGGCTGGGGACGAGGCCTACCGGAGACGTGCACGGCCCAGTGCCGCGGGACGCAGGCGGAGAAGCCGCGGATGCTGGCGCAGCCCTCGGGCGCGGTGACGAGGCGGGCGTCCAGAACGCGCAGCGCGGGGTTCACGAGAAGCCGCAGCGGGAAGGGCTCGATGCGGTGCGCGCGGCGGAGCGCGGTGGGGTACTGCCGGCAGCGCTCTGGGGGCAGCGCGGCGGCGAAGACGCGCAGGGGCACACCGAGCTGCGGGGCGCTCAGCCCCAGGCACGGCTCGCCCCGCAGCCCGGCCGCCAGCGCCGCCGCCAGCGCCCGCAGCTCGGGGCCGCCCAACCGCTCAGGGGCGACGGCGGCGGCGGCGGCGCGCAGCACCGGAGTGCCCACCTGGCACGGCGCGGAGAACGGCGGCTTGGAAGGGCCCCGCAGCCGCCGCCGCAGCGCCTGCCAGTAGGAGCGCTCCCGCACCGCGGCCCAGCCCGACCCCGCCTCGGCCCCGCAGCCGCGGGCCTGACCCGGAGCCCGGCCCGGCAGCAGCCACCGGCACAGCACCGCCGCCATCCCGGCGGATGTGACGCGGCCGCTGGAGGGGCGCTGGGGGCGGGGAGGGCGAGGACTGGCGCCCCCTGCCGGCGGGGAGGAGCGACGGCTCCGCGGCTTCAAACGGGAAAGGCACGGCGCGGATCGGGCGGCCACGCGGGTGGCACGGCTTTATTGCTGCAGGCACGGCACGGCCCCACCAAGGGGACGCGTGGGGACCCCTGTGCCCGCAGAACAAGTGTTCCCCCCGCAGCACGGCTCTCCCCTCTCCGCAGCCCCCGGGTCACGATGCAGGAGGCTCCCCTCTGTGCCCGCTCTCATCCAGCAGCACAGCCCCCAGTGCAGGGTCCGCGGGCTCCTCTCGGCCCTGCTCTAGCGGGGGCCCCCCTGGCCCAGTCTCCTCTGTCTGCGTGCGATGCAGTGCGAGCACAGGGCTTTGTGGGGATGGCTCTTCCTCACTGGGTGGCAGCTCTGCCTCCTGTGCTGGCAGGACAGGGGCCAGCAGCTCTCTGAAAGCGCTCACATCAATGCAGCCCAGGTGGCTGTAGCGCTGCAGATGGGCCGGAGGGATACCTATGGGACACAGAGAAGGGTGGGCACAGCCCTCCAGCGCAGTGCAGCTAACACTGCATCCCATGGCGACAACAGCATCTCCCACTTTATTCCTCCCCACAGTGGAGTCTTACCCAGCACCTGTGCGATCTGAGCCGGGGGGAAGAGAACCTGGAGGCAGCGATTCAGGTAAGGAAGCAGATCCTCCAGGAATGCTGTGCAGAACTGGACAAAGAGCTCCTGCTCGCGCCCGCTGAATGCCGCCTCCTCTGCCCGGTGGAAGGCCAGGATTATTTTGGTCACCTGGGGCAGAGAACAGAGTCATTAATTTCCAGATCACAATCCCCAGGCAAATCCAAGGGCCTGGAGAACCTGACATATGAAACAGCCACTTCCCTTTCATAGCAACAGGCCCAAGGCAGCATTTTGGCACAGAAACCATCCTTATTTGCAGCTGTTCTGTTTCTCCTACAAAGTAGGAGCCCAAGTGCAGCCCCAGCACCTCACCTTGCCAAGGGCATCCTTCAGGCAGGCAGCCACATCCTGCGCCAGGGCGATGGGGCAGCAGAGCCGCAGGTCGTTGAAGGCGACAAGGAGGCCATTGAGGAAGCAGGCAAGGGGCGGAAAGTCCAGCAGCACCATGGGTGGCTGCAGTGTCCCTGGCTGGGCTGAGGGCACCGGCACTGCTGCGGCACTGCCCAGCACAGCTGGGGCAGAGATGAGCGTGTAGGAATTCATCTCCTCCTGGAACTTCTCCACCGCCTCATCCACTGCCTTGCTGAAGGTGGTGGCAGCGACACGCTGGAAGATGGGGGCCAGCTGCCCACGGAAATCAGCCCCTACCCTACTAAAGGAGAGGCCAAAGTACATGCACTGCCCCAGCAGTGAGTCCAAGCGGCCACCCACCCCTCGCTGCAGGTCACGCTCCAGCACCTGCAGGAACTCAGAGACCTTCTGCAGCACCCAACCATGGAAGATGGCCCCCTCGTTGAGGGAGGGCTGCTCGGGGGCCAGGAGCGGCTCCTCATCAGAGAAGATGGCACGGTACTGTGTGATGATGTCAAAGAGGTGGACGCGGCAGGCCTCGACTGTCTTGGTGAGGTGGAAGTAGGGGTCATCCTTGGGGATGGAGGCCTGGATGGAGCGCAGCCAGGCGTCCCGTGCCTGCAGGAACTTGATGCGCAGCTCGGCCTCGGTGAAGACATCCATGCGCCGCAGATAGCCAATGACCCGCAGGCAAGTGGGCAGAGGGATGTTGGTGCGGAGCTGCTGGATGAGCTCGTTCAGCATCAGCTGAGTGGACTGCCGCACCTCGGCCACAATTCCCTGTGAGGAGAGAGCCTCAGTGGTACTACCAGTGGGCTGAGGCCAACTGCACGAGACTCAATAAGACCAAGTGCCAGGTCCCACACTTCGGAGTCACAACACCCCATGCATCAAGAAACATAGAGCTGTGGCATTTGGGTCTAAGCAAGCATGGCAGGGATGGGTTGACCGTTAGACTCGGTGATCACAGATCTTTTCTGACCTTAATGACCTTTTTGACCTTTGACTGTGGGACAGCCGTGCAGCAGGGGCAGCATGGCCCTACCTGGATGACGGGGATGCTGCTGTACTTCTTCTCCAGCCGGCGCACGTAGGCCGCCAGCTCCAGCGCCTCCTCATAGTAGCGGTTACGCACACAGGTGTCCATGAGCTGCGGGATCTCCAGGATCTCTAGGATCTCTGTGTGCCGGTTCAGCGTCAGGCTGTTCATCCGCCGGCTGCAGGCAATGGCCTCAGCATCACGCATGAAGTTCCTGCGGGGCCAGGAAGGATCAGCACCAGGCGGGTGGAGGGGGACATCCTGGGACCTCCTTAGCTACTCTCCTGCTCTGCTACTGACCCCGATCCCAACACCGGGCTGGCACTGACCCCAGGGCACCAACTGCCCCCAGCCTCACCCACCTCCAGTCCTTCCCGCGTCTTGTCAGCTCTATCCCCAGCGCCCCCGAGCCTGGCCCATCCCGCTCACCGGCAGGCATCCTGCAGGGCGGGCAGGCGCTCCAGCAGGCTGCTCAGACGGCTCTCGATGCCACCGAAGCCGCGGCCGGCGCGCCCGGTGCACTCCGCGGAGCGAATGAAGGCGCGGTAGTGCTCGAAGGCCAAGCGCCGCGTCTCGGCCCCGACCCGCTCCCGCTCCGCCGCCAACCGCGCCGGCTCCCGGCCCAGCTCCGCCAGCCCCAGCGCCGCCAGCTCGGCCACATAAGCGGCGAGCTCAGCGCCGCCGGGTCCCGCCACAGCCGGTCCGCGCAGCCAGGCCAGCAGCCGCTCCTCCTCCGCCGCCATCGCAGTCGCTCCGCCGGCACGGGCCCACGCCACTTCCGGCCCCGGCGCAGGCACTTCCGGGGCAGTACCGCCACTTCCGCTTCCGGCGCTGCAGCGCGTGTGGGGCGTGCGGCGATGCGGCCGCTGACGGAGGCGGAGACGCGGGCGGTGTTCGAGAAGCTCGGGAGATAGTGAGCGGCTGGGAGTGCGGGAGCGGCGCGGGGGAGCGGTGGGACCGACGGGGGAACGAGGGCCCGGGGCTGCAGCGGAAGCGCGGCACGTGCCGTGTGTGGGAACGGCGGGGCTGACGGGGAATGGATGGGGCGAAGTACGGGTGCAGGCAGTGGTGGCACAAGAGGAGCCGAGGGGATCGCAGCGTGATCGGGTTGGAACGGACCTCCTGCTCCTCCCCTGCCGCCGGGTGCCCCCCAGCTCGGGCTGCCGGGAGCCCAACCACGGCCCCGGGCACCTCCAGGGATGGGCACCACCGGTCTTGGGCTGTTGATGCAGCCCAAGATACTGTTGGTTCTCCGGGCTGCAAGTGCACGCCGCTGGCTTGTGTTAAGCACTCCGTCTACCAGGACCCCCAGGTCCTTCTATGCAGGGCTGCTTTCTACACATTTTTTCCCTCACTCTATGTATGTATCTGGGATGGCCCCAACCCAAGTGCAACACCTTGCATTTGGCCTTGATGAACCTCATGAGGTGTGAAAGAGAGAGATGGGTCAGAAGGAGCCAGGAGGACCAGAGGACTCTGGGAGAACACCAGGGATGGATCTGATGTAGCTTTTCCCTGCAGCATTGGCGAGAACATCCAGTTGCTGGTGGACCGGCCTGATGGCACCTACTGCTTCCGTCTGCACCGTGACCGTGTCTACTATGTGAGGTGAGCTGGGGTTGGGGCTGTGGGACCCAGGGTGAGCCCATGCAGCCCTCCCAGCCTGCAGCCTCTCCATCCCTGTCTCCCCACAGCGAGAAGCTGCTGAAGGGTGCTGCAAGCATCCCACGGGACAGCCTGGTGGCACTGGGCACCTGCTTTGGCAAGTTCACCAAGACACAGAAGTTCCGGCTCAGCGTCACTGCCCTGGACTTCCTTGCACCTTATGCCAAGGTGGGATGTTTCCCACCCCCCAGCACCTGCTTGTTCCCAGTGCCACCCTTTGGGCAGCTCACCGACTCCTGTCTCTCTCTTAGTATAAAGTGTGGGTGAAGCCAGGCTCAGAGCAGTCCTTCCTCTATGGCAACCATGTGCTGAAGTCTGGCCTGGGCCGCATCACGGAGAACACAGCACAGTACCAGGGCGTGGTGGTGTACTCCATGGCTGACATCCCACTGGTGAGTGGCCTCCCCAACACTTCCCACTCTAAGGGAATGGGTGCTGGGCTGCAAAACACTCCCTCTCCCTTCTTCCCCAGGGGTTTGGAGTAGCTGCAAAATCCACCCAGGACTGCCGGAAGGTGGATCCCATGGCCATTGTGGTGTTTCACCAGGCAGATGTCGGGGAGTACGTGCGCAGTGAGGACACACTGACTTAGGGCAGCACAAATGCTCAGGAGCCACAAGCACGCCTGGGCAGAATGGACTTGTCCTGCATCATGCGTGGTAGCAGCACACGGAGCTGCAGGGAGCGCACCCCAAGGAGAGAGCAGGAGCTGGGAGCAGTTGCTGCTACTGGGAGCACAAGAAGGCACCAGCTGTGCTGTTGTGATTGCATAAAGCCTGTTCCTTCTTTTTAACTGCCTCTTGTTTCATGCAACACCTTAGGGCGTCAGTCCTGAGGCCTGGCTGCACATTTGGGAGCCTGGGTTGGTGCAGCAGGCAGCGATACACAGGAAGGAGGCAGGAAGACAGCAGATAGCTGCCTGCAGGGCTGCTGTCATCCCATCCAGGCAGGCACAAGAAGGATGGGTACCATCCATGGGTATTTCATAAAATGGGGTTCTAGGCAAAAGGGGCAGATTGAAACACTAAAAGCTGGCAACGACACACTAACACAAAATTGAGGTTTTTGTATTTTTTTCCTGAAGGTAATTTCAGTTAAAGGTGGGAGGTGAGTGAGCTCTGCTTCCAGCTACACCACCCCCTCCCCAGGGCAGGACCTGGGCTTTCTCCTCCTGCTCTGTGGAAAGCAGGGGGGCTGATGCAGAGGAGCAGGCAAGCCCCTCAGTCACTGCTGTGGGTGAGTGCAGGTGGGGCTCTGCTCCTGTGGGCTGTGCTGTGTCAGGGAGCTGTCAGCACCTCGGCTTCCCAGAGCTCTGCACGTTGAAGAGACGCTTCAAGAAGTAAAGCTGCAGGACCCCAGAGAGGACAATGAGGCAGCTCTGAGCCGTCGACCACCAGTTGACATAGTGGTAGTTGGACTCGAGGAGGAAGGAGTCGGCCCTTTTCCTCATCCGGGCAAAGTTGTAGAACCTCCACATGTGGAAGATGCGGATGTACAGTTTCTGAATGCTGTCCTGCAGACATAGCCCAGGAGGAGAAGAGAATGGTGCTTACCAGCTGTGCTCAGGCAGGTTGTGCTGCTGAGGAGCTGGCAGAGCACTGGCAGAACCCTTGCAGGAACATCCAGTGAGCCACCAGCTTGGTTCAACACCAAGTTAGGCAGCAGCACATCAAGCAGGGACAAATGTCCTTCCTTGGTCCCTGAGGAGGAACTTGCCCATCCCTGCCACGGGGTGCTGCTGGAGGCCACACTGTTGCATTCAGTTCTGGCCTATTTTTGCATCAGCCTGACTCGTGCACTGCTTTGAAGCACTCTGTGGCAGAAGCAGCACTTACCTCAATGGCATCCAACGTGTCATTCAGCTGTTTCCTCTCTTCTGTCTGCTCCTTTTCCATGTTGAAGCCATCATAGTAGACACCAAAGTTGAGATACACCTGCATAAAGCCAAAGTGATTTTGCCCATTGTCCAGGCAGAGCTGATAGAAACCTGCAGAGAGAAGTGGAGGTTTTTGTTCCCTAAGCTGGCAGCGCTGCATTGAGCACTTAATGCTGATGTGTGCTGGCAGGGAGGGCACCGTGACCACACAACACACATCAGCACTATGAGGACCCACAGAGCCCACCCAGCCCCGGGGGACACAGACCTGTCTCCTTGGTCAGGAAGTTGATCTGTCCTCGCACATCCTGGGAGGTGCCGAGCTGGAAGCCATTGGGGTCTTTTGCTGTGGCCAGGATGTGCCTGCTGTTGGCAATGCCTGTCGCCCGCTGCACCTGGAGGTGGGAGACACCCATTAGCAGGGCTGGGATGCTGCCCAAAGGGGACACCTGTCCTTAGGGAGGCATCACCTAAGGGTCTTTTGTGCCCCATTCTTGGGAAAACAGGAGTCCAGCAAGTTTCCTTCTGCTTGGTCGTGAGCAGGAGCTGAGGGTGCTGGCTGCACTCAAGCACTAAATGCCTCCTGCCACTGCCAGCTACACATGAAAGGAAAATAAAACCCACAGCCTTGAGAAGGGTCACCTCTCAGTTCTTTGTCCTTGCCCATGGTGCTGCTGGCACTCACAGAGAGGTAGAGGACCGGGTTGGGTCACTGTCAGGGGTCCCCGGAGGGGAGAGCAGGCTCCAAGCATGTTCTCAGTCCTGCAGAGCAGCTCCCAGCTGTCTGCTGGCTTTGGGGCTGAGCAAGAGCATGTTTGGGGTCGGCTGGGCTTGTGCTACGTGCTGGGGCTGTTCCCACACGAGCACTGTGTGGCTGCTCTGCCAAGCACGAGGTGGTGGCAGCTGCGTCCCCACGCTCCTTCAGCCAGCAGTGTAAACAGGAGATTAAAGGGCTCCGGTCCCCCTCGTGGGAAGGGGACTGAGCACAGGGACAAACTGATACGGCTGCACCTGAGACCTTCAGCACTCCTCCCAGCCACAGCTCAGAGGGAAGCTGAGGTCCTGCAATGGCCTCCAGCCAGCCCAGCACTCCTGCAGCGCTGAGCTTGCCCCAGCGAGCTCCATCTGGGTACAGGGCCACCACAGCCAGAGCACCCTGCACCTCCTCACTCTGAACATACTCCTGGTTTTCAGCGCGTTTGAAAATAGCTGATGGGATTGATGATGAGAAGGCAAACTGCCTTAAAAAAAAAAAAAAAGAAAGAAAGCTCAGGCCCTAGGACCAGCCATTGAAGTTACTGCAGCCATTCCCTGGCACAACCAAGGATGTTCCCCTCCCCTCCACCCCGAGGACAGCAAGGCAGCCATTCCCCCAAACCCATTGGCAGAAGCACCAGCTCACAGCAGGATGGGTCCCGCAGCACTCACCTCAAAGCTGAAGAAGAAATTGCCACTCTGGTGTGCAAACTGCCAGAAGCACTCAGTGGTGCCAGCATGGACGACGATGGCAAAGTCATAGCGGTCAGCACCACGGAACAGGGGCTCATCGCTGGTCCCGCTCAGGGGCTCAGTCCTGGGGCACCCAGCAGGACCTGGCAGCCCCAGCACCAGGAGCACCAGCAGCAGCATGCTGCTTCCAGCTGGGCAGCAGCACAGAGCCGAGGCAGCGGCGTTATCAATCATTAACTGCGCCTGTGCTGCTGCACGGTGTTGCTCGGCAGGAGCCGGCTCCACTCCAGGTGATATTGGTGCACGGCCAGACTTGGTCTGCTTTGTTCATGTTCCCATCCACCCAAACCCCTCTGCTAAGGGCCAAGGCTGCTGCAAAGTGCCACAATCACCAGCAGCATCTCCTGTCTGCACAGCACTGGTCCAGGTCCCAGGCAGACTCGCTCTGCTTGCAGACAAATGATGCCAGTACTTGTGAGCAAAGCAATTAATTACACTGGTGATTCCTGCCCCACTGCATGATTCTCACCAAGTCCAGAACTGGCCCCTGCAAGCTCACAGTGCTCCCATCTACCTGCAGCTGTTCCAGCACAAGTAGTGTTACAGCAGCAGAGGGAAATGCACAGCCACAAGCAGGTGGCAGGGGAAGCTCGTTCCATCAGTGCTGAAGGGCAGAGGGGAAAGCAGGTGTTTCCAAACAGTCTGCTACCCAGCACTAGCTCTACAGCTGCTTCAGCGAGCCCAGAGCATCAATCAAAAAGGAAACAAAACCCCTTCCAAAAAAAGAAACTGGAGAAATGAACAGATCAGAGGGTGGAAGTACACGCTATTCCAGCAACCCTCCAGATCCAACCCTACAGTGTTGGTGTAGGGTACGTCTGCACACTGCCTAGCTGTTGTGCATTGGCTCACTGCACACACAAAGCCCCCAGCTGTAAGTCCAGAGGCTACAGAACAACTGAAAAAAAGCAAGAAGCCTGGCTGGGCTTCCCATCATTTCTAGGGTTTCTACAGCAGTTACTCACCCCACAGTGCTTTTAGGAAATGCCCCTTTGGCTTCAGAGCCATGAGACTTCAGTGCCTGTGAGGAGGCACCTTCAGAGCATCCCTGTTCCACCCCCCCCCCCACCTGCTGCTGACATCGCAGCAGGCTCAGGCAGCAAATAAACTGGTCACCACACAGCCAGCACTCCAAACTGCCTCACTGCTACCAAGGAGGCACAAATTCACATATTGCAACTCTTGAAACTCATCAGCAAAGAACTTTATTTTATAGAAGACACCACTCAGTCATTTGAAGGCAAGAAACAGTGCCCTCAGAGTTCACATGCTTGCAGATTGCATACAGGATGCTGTTACCAGGAAGGAGACAATGTCACAATCAACATCATTAAGCACTAGATTGTTTAACATGGGACCAATTTTTACTAAACAAACAAACAAACAAAAAAAAACAACAAAAAAAACCAGTTGCTTAAGTTTCAGAAGGGAGGGAAAGTCCCACCTGCAGGCTAGAAAAATACTTCTGGGAGAAAAACTGCCTTAGCTAAAGCTCTTCCCAGAAACTGCGGGACTGTGTTGCCTCTCCAAAGGAGAGAGTACAAACAGACGGAACAAAACTCGAATAGTTTAGACAAGTTAAACATAAAAACAGCCACTGACAGTTACGCAGATATTGTCAAATGGCAGAACAGAAGACATCTCAGCAGCCCATCAGGTTGGCTGCAGTTGTCAGGTAGGAAGAAGTCCCAATCCAGGCCATTTCCTAGCACATGCATTCAAACTGCAGCTTCTGCCAACTGCAGAAGACGTAAACCTTGCAGCTACAACTCGAGACACAAGGCTCCTTAGAAACCACATCTGACAAGAACCACCTGCAGCAGCCTGTGGTACGGCAGTGCAGAGGGGCTCACCACACACATCAGGGAAGCGCCCCGCAGCTTTGCTGCTAGTATTGCTATGGTCAACCTTAAAGAACAAGAACACTGACACTAAGGATGGCCCCAGCTTTAGGCGATGCCCAGCTTCTTCATGGTCCGGTAGCGATCCTTGATCTGCACCGAGGTGCGGTTCTGGAAGGGGTATTTCTCAGAGATGGTTTTCCACCTCCCTTCTCCATACTTCCTCACGCCGTCTTTGATCCACTCGCTTTCCTGCACTGTCCATTTCTAAAAAAAGCAGGTAAGCAGCATTCTGTGAGTTCAGAGCACAGCTTCACAAGGGAGCTGCACAGCACAGCTCTCTGCAGAGCATCTCCTTCCTAATTAGCTTTCCTTTATCATCTGTGCTAGGGACATGGAGGAAAGGCAGAACTGTTCTGTCAAAAGCACACGAACACCCAAGGAATCGCTTCATTGTAGAAGAGCTCTCATAACTAAGATAAGAATAACGCCAGGCTCCAGCACAAACTACCGTGGTTCTGCCTCCAAAATACAACACTAATCACAGAAGAGGAATTGTCCATTGATGCAGCAGCAAGCAGAGATACAGAGCGCTCAGTGCTTACCTCCCACACAGCTGCACAGAGGCAGTTAAAACTGCAAGGTCAAGTCAGCTGAATTTTTGCATGGGAGGCAAATAAAACAGAACTGCAGAAAGCAATCATAAGCACAAAAGCACTGCCCTGTGTACAGCTGCACAAGAGCTAGCAGCCATTCACCCACACGTAAGGCTGACAGTTATTTGGAGCTGCTGGAAGGCATCAGCTGCCTCACGTGTGTCCCTCACCTGAACAAGATGCTGAAGCTCTCCAGTGCTCACAAACCTTCTGTATGCTGTGCACCAGGGAAGAGCAGCTTTACTCAAATACCCAACACCTGACATGCAGGAGGCACAGAACCACAACCAGCTACCAAATCTGTTTTTGAAGGACAAACTCACTCCAGCTCTGCAAACACAGAGACCCAGACAGCTAACCATGCCTCAGTGCTGCAAGGTCTCAGCAAGAACCACTCTCCAGCCCAGCCTGTGTGCATGGCAGCAGCTCAGCCTGCTGCAGGACACTGCACCAGTGTCCTCACCAACATTTCCAACCATTTCATAACTGCTTTTCTCTGCAGACGTGTTCTGATTTCAAACCTTACAGAAAGGCTGCAATAACTCATTACCTGTTTCTTGGAACCATAGACTGTAGAGTTGTTGCTGCTCGTCTCAGTTAATGCTGAAAAGCAAAACAAGGGCATTACCTTGGGTATCAAAGCAGTGCCAGGGCAGACATTCCTAAGAGATGGCCTTGTTAACTGCCGAGCTCTGCAGTTGCTCACAGTGCAAAAATCCCACGACACACAGTGAAACTACATCAATTTATCCCTCTCTTTTCTACAGTGTCTCTCTTCTAAACTCTGTCTGCTTTCTGGAAAGCTTCCCAATAGGACTGACTTATTGGCTTTGTTTTACACTAGTCAGTATATCAAGAACAGGGGCATGTACCCACAATGAGGCTGTACTCTGTGCTGAGGCTGGAATTAGGCATTCTGGACCCTCATCCCCTCCTTTTAACTAGCAGTGCCAGCCAAGCCATGCACGTAGCCACAGAGGCAGCTAGACCAGAAAATTCATACCTGCATCTGCAAAGAGCTCATCTTCATCACTCCAGCTGTCTTTTCTTTCTTCACAATATGAACTGTTCCACCTTGGTTTAGAGGACCTGAAAGCAGACAAGCACTTACTTCAGCTAATGGCGAGGGCAGAGCCAGCTAGAGCACAGCAAGTAATGCAGAAAAACACATCACAAAGCAATGTGTGAACAAGCCCCCCTGCATCCCCCCCAAAGTGGGGTTAAGTCCTTCAGAGCCCCTGCTGGAAGCCACCAGCTCTATCTCAAGAAGTGGCATGTTGTATTTTGTAATCTGCACTTGCAAAGCCCAACAACCTCACATTAACAGCACCAGTAAACCAACAAGCACTGAGCTTTGCAGGCCACCACATACAGCACTAACTCAACAACAGCTCAGGGCAGGAAGCCTGTAGTATTTCTATAGCTTGGAAGTTTCCACTACTAACACTGAGGGCAGCTAAATCAGAAGAGCCTTTGTGAGGAAACATGCCTCAGTGCTGTTACCTGCTGCCATGGTTCAAGCACAAACAAGTGAAATTAAGTTAGGCGCTTTAGGAATACTTCCTGAAGCTCATGCATGGCTGTCACATCCCATATAGCTGGATGGAAATAGAGTCTCAGTGTCACCTCTGCTCATTAAGCTTAGCCCTGGGCAAGGCACTGGAGAGGTTTCACCACTGCTCACACTAATGCACACTGCATCATAGCACGTGATGCTTGAGGCCACCCTGGTGTTTCAGAGCAAGACAACATGTCTCCAAATGCTATACAAAGATCTGTACTGTCTACCTTCAAAAACTAAACCTTAGGTTCTTAGCAGTCTTCAGCCAGGAAACCATGAGAAACTGATTTATTTCTCCTCCTGAACACAAAGTTGTCCTCAAACAACCTTTCCAGTTTCACTCCTGGAGGTCCAAAGTATTACTGCTGTCTGCTAACTGAAGAACAGCAACTGAAGCAGGAAGCTGTCACACCCTTGCTATGGCTTGCAGAAGGAGATACTCTTGAGACTTAACTTAGGAGTCTCACACCAGTATTAATCTCAGACTTCTTCCAGTGAGCACACTTTGCTGTTTTCCATAGGAAATACAAAAATTAAAAATCTAAAATCCCTCTACCTCCTTCACTGCTGTAATTTCAGCTATAAGGTAAGCAGTAACAAATTCCAGAAACAGTCACAAAGCTGCAACTGAGAGCTTTAGCCAGATGTGTTTCAGAAAAAAAAGTGTGAGATTCTACTTCTCAAGGGGCATAAAAAGGCCACCCCCACCACGAGGCTGTCAGAAATACCTGCCAACATTAATGGCACTGCCTGAGCGACTGCTGCTGCAGCACTGCCACCTCTAGTACCAAACAGCAAGTTATAACAACAGTTTACTACACATGCTGGTGGAGAAGGAAGGCAGATACACTCGCACTGAACTAAAGAAAGGTTTCTTGTCATTCACACTGGTAATTCTATGTGAAAATACTGGCTGCAGGTTTGATCATAGCACAAGAGACAGGCTTCATACTCAACCTTTCAGCAGATACAGGCTGGTCAGACAACTCCTGAACAGGTCTATAGGCAGAAGATACAACTCGCTCCTGGGAAGAGTCTGGGCTTTCACTTGACTTGCTGCACTGGCTGCTTTGGTCCATGACCATTTTGCTTATGGTAAACAAGCGTTTGCTCTTA